CTTCCCCACTGGCAGTCAGCCCTTAATGTGTTCAGGAGAGGTGGAGCCAGGCTCCATCCCTTCTTGCAGCACAGGTGAATTGCCTTCACCTGTGCTCCCATGGCTGACTCATGGCTCACCTGAGGCAAGCAATCAGAAATGCAGGCCATGATTCAGCAGTTCCCATACAATACGATAACAAACCCCCAGGGAATATTATTTCAAGTATACAAATCAGTGTAGATGCCAAAATATCTTAAGCATAATATAAATACATTTTAAAACAAGATCAAGAGACAATTTTCTTCATAGCAATCATTCTATGAAATTAAATCAGAATTTAAGGTTTACAAATATGGTCCACATCTCAGGTCAGATGGAGAAGCTAATTTAACAGCTCACAAAACACCATGCTTTACTGGGTGACTGTTGCACATGCATTTATTGTATGTCGATGGGGCAAGCATTCAGTTTGCCAGCAAAATGAAAACCACAATGATCAAGACTGACAGCAAGAACACAGCAGTAAGTGATGGGAAAGTAGGGTTTCCACTTTAGGACAAAAGCTATTCCCCAGCCCATTACTCTGCCCTTGAAGACAAACCACAACATGAAGAAGAAAGCAGTTTTCATTTACAAATTCACATACAGCTCTCTATAGTGATGGCTTGGAAACAAAATGCTAGAAACCAACTATAGCTTTTTTGTGCTCAAAAGTTTGCTTATTTTCTTGTTAATTATATCAGATAATGCTTGTCCAACAGAACTTCCCCTTGCTTATACTCCTGGATTACCACAACTGCATGCATTCCTAAACTTTTCTTTCCCAAATTATTATGACAAATTAGTGTAGCTTTTTTTCCAATCATATTTAGCAAGTATGAATATAACTGGAAATGACAATATGCATTAACAGTACTACACTTTTTTTTTTTCCCCTCTCCTTGCCAACTGCTGATATTAAAACCCTAAAACATTTAATATGATTCAGTCTCAGTAACTATAATAAATTTTATATCTGAGTAAGGTTTCTAAGAAAGCTGGCCATGAACTTCAGACTGGTTTCCCAAAACAGATTGGTATGCTAAAATCATGCAACAGTGGTACACAAATGCCCTAATGGTTCTAGTAAGGCACTTTGGGCCTATACTTCATAGAAGCAAGGACTCACAAGACAAAGTGTGATTTTTTTTTTTTTTTTTTGCACAAGAGCAGTAAAGAGGGCTACACACTGGAAAGTAATTCCATCTATATAAAGATTAAGGAAATTAAGCTCACCATGCTTTCCTACCCCAATTTGATACATTTATAAATTAACACTGAAGCATCAGATGCTCTTACCTGACACTGTTCAAGTCCAAATGCTTTTTTCCAGTTAATTTGCAAGGAAGTTTGTACCTAACTAGTTCAATGATGGGGACATATTACCTAGGGCAGACACCCGCACACCTAAGGCACTACCACACAACAAAAGCAAATACACTTTAAGGATTATAAGAAACTGTATTCCCAGGGTGAATCTGAATTTTTGTCTAACTCCAAGTTAAGACGAACTATAAACTCATCTAGTAAAGCAACAAGCTAATATTTGAAACATGGCCTAGAAAGACAATGGAGCATACTAAGAACCAGGATCTTGAAGCAATGTATGAAGAGTGCCTAAAACACCCATGAAGGTCACATCCTACTATCAAGGCTGACTAGCTTGCATAATTTCTAAACTCCACAGCCATGTCCAACTCAAATGTGAAAAACTGTAAATTATTCTTTAAAGATCTTTTACTAAGGCAGCAAGTGGGGGCGGGGAGGGAGGAGGGAAGATATACCTACTCTTGCTATGTATTCTCCACAGAAAAAAATTCTTCCAATTAAAACAAACAATAAATACCTGTTCTGAATATAAGGTCCATTCTGCTCATGAAATTGAAATAGGTGCTTAATTGGTTAAAAATTTGTCTAGGAAAGTACATTCATTTTACTGTTTTCTTTTCAATCTTTGTGAAAATAATTTTAAGTAGTAAAAAAAACAAAACAGAATAAACAAAGTAGATACATTCTGTCCTGAAAACAACAGGAAAGCATCATGCTCAGAAAAGCAGTCACTTTTACATCTTAGAACATGTGCATACACATTCACATGAGTACACAAAGGCAATAATGAAGCGAAAGTCTTCCCCCCTCTCCCCCCCACACTGTGGCACACTCGCTACTCTGGCATCAGATTGTCTTCCCAAACTATAGTACCAGGCTAGCTTCCCATCCTGATCTGCTCTCTTCTTACGTTAACCTCATCCCATTGGTCAAGCTTCCAGCCAACATAACCTTACACTGCATTAACTTTTCCCAATAGACCGCTTGTGACAAGCTTCAAAGCATCACAAGCACTGTCAAACATTTTTCTCTTCAACCTTCAATACTCAACAGCAACCAACCTGAACTGGAACAAACATCTTTCTGTTACCACTTCAACATCTTAATTTCCTGAGATGCAGTGATTTACATGCACTGCTGTCTGCTCACCTGCTTCCTGTGCAGATAGTTGAGTTCAACTGTAATCTCTAGATATTGGCAAGCAGCAGACAGAAAATAGCACAGTCTATGATCCAAACCAGAAGGGACTCATGCTGAATTAGACCATGAATTATCAAATTATTTCTTAAACTCCTTGGTTTAAGATGTTCACAGTGGCTTAATTTACCATACATGGTATATCCTAAGGCACAGCATATAACCCATCACCCCAAAATACTTAAGTGTGGAAAAGCAAGAAAGTGTACAGGCAGCAATTCAAACTGGCCAATTCCCCCGTCCTCTCTTACTAAAGGAATAATGAAAAAGGTTACAAAAAAAAAAAGCATTAAGAAACCACAAGACATCAGCAATCAATTCACCACAAAAAAAGTACAAGGCAGCAAAACATTTACATTTCAGCTATTGCACTGCAACCTCTGAAATAGTTCATATGAATTGCCCAATTCCTTAGTTTTTGCATCAACATAAATTTACTGGCTTAACTACATTGGCAGAACTCTGTAGCCCATTCAAAGACCCTCATAGTGGAAGTAACGTAAGTAACAAAAGGATAAGGGCTCTATAAAGCAATCCAGCCTTGCAAGACTGTACTGTAAAAAGATACATATCACATCCATAATTAGGAGCATTATTTTCACCAACAACCTTTATGGTAACAGATACCCATAACGAGGAAAAAGAAAGGGGATTCTCCAGTAGGAGCAGCAGCTCATGGAAGATGAGGAAACAGACGAGGGGTGCAGTCACTGAAAAAGTTTGATTATTGACCAAAATTTACAGAATTTAAGCTACACTATTTCACAGTTGTACTCATCAGCTGTGCTTGTCAGCTCATCAGCAGAGCAGGAATACAGCAAAAAGACTTACCCTTACCAGATCATTATAAAAAAAATGAAAATATGAAATATTTACCTTAGTAGCAGGCAATTTGATTATATACTGAAAGAAACAAAACTAGAAGACCAACATACAGCCAGTGTGAGAGAAAAATAGTTGCACTGAATATACTAATTGTGCTATCCCCTAGCACTTCTGTAAACACAATCAGTGCAGCACAGTTGGAGTTCGCAGCCAACTGAGTTTTCAGTTCATGATGATTCCAAATCATTGTGTTGAAGTTCAATGTAATCTTTGCTTGCTTTCTCTTTATTTTTAATTCTCTTTGCATCATCATTCATATTCATACTTCTCACTTACCTGCTGTCTAAAAAAAGAGAGTGATAATGTGTATAATTTTGGTTCAGCCTAATTAAAAATTGTGCTCAAAGTTTCCTATTGACTTAATAGGAATGTGGATGTAAGTGTTCTTAAGGGAAGAAATGAACATTATTAAAGTCTCAATGTATTAAAAAAAATGTGTAGCTTGCCTATTATATGCAGAAAACCCATTGAGAAATGCACAGATCCAGATGCATACAGAAGTTTTTTTGTATATTCAGATCACACTGAAGGAAGAGACCACAAAACCACTACACTATGCTGTAATGCCAACAATATACCATTACAATAAAACCTATGCAATAGAACAGAATAAAAAGAAACTATACATACATAAATATTATTGTGCTCTTGATACCCAATATGCCAATGCTTTGTGTCAGCACAACTGATCTACAGTTTATGCCTTTTTGTTTATCCTCAAACAAATCCTTTCATGGCAGATCTAAATCACAAGCACCTCATCCCTTGCACTCTCAATAGGACTGTAATATGCAGTTTGTTCACTATAAAAAAAATTATTTAAGAAAAAAATGTTTACTGCCACCAGGCAACCTGCAAACAAATTTACTCTGGGACAAATTCTATATTCTGTGCAGCTCACTAGTTATAAAAAAGGAGCACTCCATAGAAATTATTTCAGTGGAATTCCTAAAGCTATTTTTACTTTTTTTATCCTATGGGAAATACTGTCATAATTGGAGATACACTGGAAACAACCAATTAACCCACTGAAGTCAGCCTTTTAGTCTGACAGCATTACTACCCTTGAGGGCTGCCATTCCTACACTGTCAGCAGAAGACACAGTAATGCAGTAGATGTTTCATACATGCTCAGATAAAACAAATGTAGCAACATAGTAAGTAAGTTGGAAACTCCCTCCTGTAAAACTGCCTCTGAAAATATTGTCAAAGCATCTATTCTCATTCCAGTGCTTCAGTTAAATCAGCCAGAATCCACCTGACAAACAGGAAAACAGCAGTGAACAGGAGGGAGCTGATATCATGTATTTTCAGTGACTGAGACACTGTAAAAAATTGCTTCCTGCATTACTTTTTGTGAAAAAAAAAAGCTGCAGAAAATAATGACACTCCTGATTTGCGCTGAATCATATGAAAGCAAGGAAAGGTTACTTTTCTTATTCTCACAATGTTTGTCATGCTCAAATCTAAGAAAATAGGCACATGCATTTCAAGCACTACTGCTTAGAATAATTCTCATTATTACTATAATATAATCAATTAATAGTAAGAATTATCCTTATTATTACCTTTAGGACGTATTCATCACTTACTGGATCACAGAGCAGCAGCAGCAAGGAGTGATGGAAACACTTCTGGAAGAAAAAATATAAAATATTATTTTATGGTACCAAGATATTTGCAACATTAGCACTATTAGATTTAGTTTTGTATCTTGAAATGAATGCTCTAGTTACACATTGACATAAAGCTGAGCTAAATGAAGCGTGAGATTACAGATCAGTATTCCCTCCTTACTACTTAAATTCACCTACATCCAAAAGATCTCTTCTTACCATCTAAACATCAATACTTTGTTTTGCAGATAGGGAGATTGAGATGCTGAGCAGTGTGGTTTACCATCTTTGAAGAGCAAGCAGATCAGTAAAACAAGTTTTACACTGAATCTAAGCTTAATTCAGACAGTGTTACTTAGACTTCCAAAGCTCTTGTGCCAGGATTGCACAAATAACTTCACTGCTAGAAGAGGAGAAATTACAAGGTGTCAAGCTCATGAACACTTGGATGTTTTTATCTATCTGAAAAATCCTCTCTATCTGCAAGTTATCAAAACAAAGAGTCTGAAATTGTTGTCATAACTAGCAAGATAACAGTAAAACATTCTTTCCGAGTTTCAACCTAATACAGAAAGGTTGGATATATCTGTTTGTTTTGCTTAAAGGTGTTAGGCAGGTGATCATTTTCTTCTTCATTCTGTTCTACACCTGTGTGTACAGCAATGTCATCTAAGTAACTCCATGACTGAAGGGAAAAATAATCAATGTTTCCACTAATGTTTTAATCTTCTGTTTATTCAGCTTTGGAATTTTTGGTGGCACTCAGGCAATTTTTTCAGTTTTACTGTGAGCTTTGAAGCAACTCCTATCAGTATAACGTGTAACATTCAGGAGGATTGAATTCAGTCAGGAAACAGATGTAGCAGACTAGAATGTGTTTCTACACAATTATAAAAACCTGATGAACTGAATCTCCAAAACACTGTGAATTCCAGGTAATCTGAAAAACCTAAACATACTTAAAATCCAATGACATTAACTAGAACCACACAACAGCACTTGAGCAAGAATGCTCTAAAAAAAAAAAAAAAGTGCTAAAAGAACAATATGCAACATCATGCAACAAGATGACTGCGACCAGTACCCAGAGACCATCAAGTCACATCAGAGATGCTGTAGTCACCATTCAGCTCAGATGTGTTGTATTTACATTTCAGCACAATTGTACCATGAGGAAGGACAAAGTGCTCAAGTTATTTCAGTTTTAATTTCCTTGCAGCCAAGCTGAAGTCTTTAACATTAATACAGCTGAAACAACACTCTTGATTAAGGGAAGGAAAAAAAAGTCAAACAAGATAAACTGGGTTGACATTTAACTTCAATTTAGTTAACATTTTAAATTTTTGTCTAAATTTCTAACAGTATTATCAAAGGCAAACAATCAAGGCGTAACAGCTCTTCTCTGTATAGATGAGTGAGTACAGAGGAGTGAGATGAGTTTAGATGTGCTGAAAGCTTGAATATACCTCTAAGTTGCTTTAAGACCTTTACAGCATCCACACACCTTGAAATAGTTTCGAATGAATACTCGAAAAAACATTGTTTGTATTATCCAAAAACATCAAGTTACTATAATTATAGAATACATCAAGCTTAAAGTTAAACCAGCTAAAAGCTGCAGAAAAGGAAACTCATCTGAAGACAAGAGCATGTTAATTAAGATAAACTAAAATGTTAATCAAATGGTCTCTAGAAAGCTAGAAACATGAATCAGCATGTAACTTTTCACTCCTTTCCCCCCCTCCCCCCCAAAAAAATTACAAGGAATTATGTCCTGACCTGCTTGAATACAGCCAGTGCAGCATACAGCAGTGCACTGCCCTGACAGAGAGCTTTGACTTACTGGTGTATTATCTTGCAACAGTTTAGAAATGAGCTACTACGTGGAAAAGTATCTGTGTGAATATCTGTGTGTATCTGGAGCCAGAAAACCTTCTGTTTTCAGCAGGTATTCACCTGCTGAAAACAGAAGGTTTTCTGGCTCCAGATACAATATATTAAAAGCAGTACATCATTTGACACCACAGATGTCTTTTTAAGAGGGTCCAAAAAACCCACTTTGAAGTATCATAAAAGGTTTAATCAACACATAAGAAAGGAAAGGCTTCTGCTGATCTTCTCCACCCCAAATATATTAGATTTCACTCTTAAGATAAAATGCTAATTGATATAACACAATAAGCAGTACACTATTTTGTTTCAAAAAACGCAAAGCAGTCAAAATGTACCTACTAAATCAAACCATTCTGAACTGCTTTGCAAAGCCACAACCCTAAGCAGAGACAGATCAGCTAAATTAAGGCATTTAGATAACTTTTTTTTTTTTACCAGTTTTTACCATTTTATAAGTAGGATTATTATTTATCCTGTAGTCAAATCTCCATGCGAGACAACAACCAAATTTTAGTTTTCATGTTATAAATGTTAACAATTCTACAAACACATTTCTTCAAAAATTGTATCTTGTTGACATGCCAAGTCTCTTATAGTACAGCTACTGGAAAGAATGTGGGGTTGTATCCTCAGTCATCGTAAATCACTGACACTTTAAAGGAACCAAATCAATGCTCAACTACAGTTTGAATATATACTGTTCATTACTGAATGTGTACAGGTAGAAAAGCTTTGAAAAAATACTGAATATAATGGCCCTGTCCTTCATTTTAGGATTGCATTTTCACGATAACTATTGAAAACTGTCTTTCCCTTTGCATTTTCTCTCCTCCATTGGTAGCAATTATGGGTGATTTTATGTCTGTTTATAGAAGATTGTAATTGAGATAGAAAACATACTTAATTGATGTAGGTATTTGTTGTGCTAGGGACTTGATTGCTGACTCTGAAGTTGATTGAGAATACCCTTCCTAATGACAGGCTTCAGAGTTCATACATTTGAAACAACAGGAGAAAGTATTTCCATCTTTTCACCAACATTTGCTTAGGAAAAAAAGACACAATGTAAACACAGCAGTGGACCAAACTCCTTAGCATCACCACTGCTTGTCCTATTCCTCCTTACTGCCCCACTTGCAATACCCCCAAGTTCAGAATACCTGCAAGAGTTTTTGTCGTCAGAATACAATAGGGCCCTACATAAGTACCAATAAACAGCAAGGTATGTGAAGGCAGACATCATGAATGCAAACTAGAGCCAGAGGGTTGATAGAATCACGAAACCATAGAATATCTCAAACTGAAACAGACCCACACAGATCACCAAGTTGAACCCCTGGCTCCATAGAGGACCACCCAAAATCAATCCCTATGTTTGAGAGCATAATCCAAGTGTTGCTTGAACCCCAGCATCTTGGTGCTGTGGCCACTGCCCTTGGGAGTGGTCTGACAACTCACTGGTGAAAGACCAGAGCTACTATGGATCAGCAATAATTTTGCAGGGCTGAAGTCTATGTGTCCAAAGAAAATTCAGATAAAATGACAGAACGTGTTTCCTCAGCAATTTGCAGCACATCAATTCCTTGTTCTTTAATGATGGAAGCAATTATAAACTTGTATTTAGAATATGACATTGCTTAAATATGTGACTACAGAAAGAACCATAGAATTATGAAAACTGTGTGATAAAAACATAGCAAAACATGATCTATGGTCATCTTGGTTTAAGAAACCAATAAACAGACATCTGAATTTCAAAGAATAACTAAATTAAGAAAGCACAAGCATACTTCATACACTATTTTCCAATGCAAAAAGTACTTTTTACAGCATTTAGCATACCAACAGAGTTGCTTCTTCATTTTAGAATTTTTAAGAGTAGGTTTTGGAGGACTTCTGATTATTAACACTTAATCACTCAAAGAGCAAACAAATCACTAAAGACTATTTGTATACCACAACATGCAATAGGAAGAGGTTTCAGAAGTCAACTTAATGCAAGCTTCCCAACCTGAGGAACATCCTTTGAAAACACCTGCATGGATTCTTCAAGTGCAAAAACAGAGTACTGCCTTACAAGACTCAGCTCTGAACTCCTCCCAGTGCTATGTCTTTTTTCGTACTGCAGAAATCCACCTATCAACACTGTCAGAGCGATAACATTCAGATGCTGTATATGGATGTGTACTACTGGAAAGAAATCCTACTTTAACACCAGTTCCTTCACTGGGGATCTGTTGGAGGCAGATGGAAGCTCCCACTTAAGAAAAAAAACATTACTGCCTCTACTAAAGCAGTACTCTGAAGTGTTCTTTCCTAGTAACTTTTCTTAGGTAGAATTCTGCCACAACTGTAACATTTTCTATTAGGACTCATTTTCTATTTCCACATCAAATGTCTTCTCCACTTTCTCCTTTCCTAGCTCACACCTTGAGTATACAACCCAGCACACAACCTTCCTGTCTTACCTCCCCTTTGTATTGGGGACAAACTCAAACACAGTCTTCTTCAATCCAGAAAATCCATTTACCCATTAGAGCACTCATACAGGAGGCTTCCTTATTTATTTTTCCAGTATTTATCCAGTTGCCACATCAATAATTAGCATATTCTTTTCTTCCCCTACATCAAATACCAACCAAATTGTCATGTGGAAAAGTTCAAGCTTCAACTTAAGCACTGTTATTTAGAGCAATGGAAGGCCTGAATGAGCCCAGCATCAATGACAAAGGTTACCACAGACAGCATCTGTCAGACAGCGCCAGGAAGTAGCCTTCTTGCATACTACAGCTTCCCTGAATTCTATTTCAGGAAACACAGTACGTATTTCAAAACATTCTGATGTCACACTAAAATCCTAGAATTCAGGAAGATGCAACAAAACCAGGAGAGCACTCAATGGACAGCCACTGCTGTATCATTTCTTATCTTGTCATGGCCACCGGAGGCTGTAATATGGCCTCACCACAGAAAATGTGTCAGTGTCAGAAGCACAGCCAACTTCCACAACTAATACAATTTTGTGTTAAGACCATCTATCCACTGCAACCCCTTTTTCCTCCTCACAAGTATAGGCTAGGAACACCTTCAATGTTATTTTTACCCCTATATTGCATTTGTCATTT